CTTTTTTGTATTTGTGAGCAATCGGTTATGTGATCTTCGGGGTTTCTCGGCCTTTGTCCAGGTTTCGGCTCTACATATAATATAATTACCATATTACGTACAGTCAATTTGTTACACAAGATTATTGTAAAAAATTTTTATTAATCTACGTTTGTCATTCCGGGTAAATTTATTTCGCAAAATGAAAACCTTTACCCCATTCCGTCAACGAATTCGGCTGAACAAGAAAAGTGAAGAGAAAAGAAAAGAGCGGTGGAACAATGGATAAACAAGAAGAACACGAATAAGTAAGCTAATTAATTTACGATTACTTTGTGTGTGGAAACATATTACATTATGCTTTAATGCGTAGTTCTTGTAATTAATATTGATGCACGGGGTACTACACTTGCTGGACCAAATTATGCTGGTGTTATGTTACAACGAACGCATTCATAAATGTAATTTTATCTTTCTTCCACATATTCATACCACGTCCAACATGCACTAACTATATTGATCGTATCAAGGGTATGACAATCTATGAAACATTTGACAACAATATAAATACAACAAAATTAATGAAACCTTCAACACGTTCTTAAACACCACACAGACATACTAACTGCTGCTAGTCTCTCATTACTTTCCTTTACCCCCCCCGCTCTTTCCCTTACTTGCTCGGTCCGAGTAGACCGTACTCGCAAACTGGTTTATACCATTACTTCCACTTCCTAAATCTCTACCTCCAACACCCTCACCCTCACACTGGAAAGAAAGCGGCCTTTTCAAACATGAAGTTGCTATCTGTCCTCACGCTTCTGGTTGCGGCTATTGGCGTACAGCAAACTTTAGGTCATCCAGCTGCTGGTCCCGCTGGTACGGGGAAACCTAACCCCACCCCCAAACCCAACCCCACCACTAATCCCGGCTATGGCTCCAACACCCCCCCCACCACGACCAACAATAATACGCCTGCCGCACCGAGCCAAACTGTGACAATTAATGGAAAGCAACTCGTTTATCCAGCTTTAGATATTACCCCTAATACTAATGACCCCGTAGTCAAACAATGGCTATCCACTGTAGATTTAAGTAATGTACCTAATTTGCCTGCCTCTAATGGTGGGAAGGTCAATTACAATCCAACATTGTGTACGCCGCCCACTGTAATTCAACCAAACCAGGGTTCATGGACATGTCAAAAATTCGTTGCTAACGATGACATTATCGACTGTCCTGGTAAGAACACCTGGGGTCTCACGTATGATGACGGTCCATCACAATTCACGCCTGCACTATTGACAGTATTGGCTGCCAACAAACTTCACGCAACATTCTTTGTCGTTGGTTCTCGCGTGGTATCTCATCCCGAGATTGTCAAAAACATGATCGCTCAAGGTATGTATAATCCTCAATTGATAATACGGAACGAGTGTTAATAAAATCCACGTACAACCGACTCATTCTCATCTTTGTCGATTTTAGGTCATAATGTCGCAGTTCACACATGGTCGCATCCAGCTCTCACTTCTCTTAGTAACGAACAAGTTGTCACCGAGTTAAAATGGACACTCAAGGTGTGTATCGTTTAATCGAATTCCTTGGTTGCGTGTTGCATATGTAATGTCTATTTGCATATTCATAATATTTCATCTTTGATTCGTCAATAGTCTATCAAAGATGCTTGCGGTCTTACCCCAAAATACATGCGTCCTCCGTTTGGCGACACTGATAACCGCGTCCGCGCAATCACAAAGGCAGTTGGTCTAACAAGTAAGTATCCGATACGTTAAGCAACACCTATCTTCGTTCGCCCCCCATCAACACGTACTTATTCGAACCATCATTTTTAGCGATTATCTGGACTGACGGCTTTGATACAGATGACTGGGCCCTTACCACCGGCAAATCCACACTTAACGATGTACTCAACGTATTTGATGGATTTGTATCAAAGGCTGCTAGCATGCCGCGCGGTTTTCTCGTACTCGAGCACGATCTCTTTAATCAGACTGTAAATGCAGCCATTGTTGTCATTGGCAAGGCTGTCAAGACCCCTTTGACCATTCAGACAGTTCCTGAATGTATTGGTGACCCTAACCCTTATCTTGAAAACGTCTCCACCGGCACTAACGGTGGCGCCGCTGGAGGGGCTGGTTCTGGTGGCTCTGGTGGCTCTGGTGGTTCTGGTAATGACAATTCCACTGCTAGTGCACAGTCAACGGATACTGGATCTAGCCCAAGTAACGGAATTGCCCTTGCTGTTCATGCTGTAATACCAATAACTGGTGTCATCATTGGTTCTTTCCTCAACTTCATTTAATATTCTTGAAAATGTTTACTGTATAAGTAGGACCCTATAGGGAATAGAGTAGGGGATTGTAAAAATGTTAATATGGTGGCGATTAATTTAAACTAGGCGGGTATTCCGGTTTAATTTGTTTCTTAGCCTTATGTGAAAACGGCTAAGATGACATTATCTCGAGTAATGCAACACAAGTCCGAAATACACAAAACCTACAGATTCTGACAGACTTTATCGTGGTAGTTCCAAGTGTATAACAAAATTTGGATGTAATTTCATGTAACGATAATTCGACAGATAAACATCAAACTTGTCTCCATCTGTAGGCGTATAAAATCTCGTATTAATCGGTAAATATCTTTTGTCGATAAAAAAATCAATTTATTAAACTAGACGAGAACATCAATAAAACCGATATAGAATTAGTTAATATCAATTTAAGCAACGCAAACACCTTGCGCTAATTAAAATTCGGCAAAATAGTTAATGCCAGTTCAGTAGCTGCGCACCAGTGAAGGACGTGCGTCCCTCATCTAACCGGGTGATACTTGTGCACTTAATTAAAATTTTTAAATAGCCAAGCACATCTGCAATACGTTACATGGTGATTGTTTTTTCCTATTGGACGGCCGAAATTAAATTAATGACAGGGAAAAACGGTAAAGCCTAAATTCAATTGAAGATCGATGCTAATATTAAAACGTTAATCATTTAATATCCAGATTTGCTGCGCGTCAGAACATTTTCAGGGACGATTTTAATGTTGATCAATATCCAAAGTTGACCAGATTAGCGCCATAATGTAACAATCGGCTCAGTAATTAATTCGGAATTTGCTCCGCAACATCAAGCGGCGTATACAAAATCAGACACGTAGTAAAAATCTGCATACATTGTCGAATTCCACATTTATAATCATGTTTATTGATAAAGTATTGCTCTTGGTACAACACTATCTTATTATAGAATTTTTAATGTTTACTTTTTTCTAATATACCGGTCGGTTATTCCGATTAATCGGGATAATCTGGATAAGGGTTCAATAATACACAATCTTGATGAATAAACATATCGATTATGAACCTGTCGAATTGGACCCAAAAAGAACAAAGACAATATACGACGAATGGAACGGAGACCTTATCAATTACGCTGAAATCAATACACTAGATTAAGCACAAACAAAAGATGCAGCTATATATTACCGTATTCTTTGGAAAATAAGCAACACATTTTTGTTATATTGTTGCTTATATTCGGGTAGTTTAATAAAATAAAAGAAATTTCCACTGAATTATGTAATTTCTGTCGATAATACCATTGACTATCATTGCCATCATTGATGAGACGGATTAATCATTTTCTTTATTGTAATAACAATAATAAAATAAAACAACTAATTGAATACATTTATAAAGGTAAATTATTTATTCTGGAGTTTTGCTTATTTTCGAGTGTTGCTTATTTTCGGAACTTATGTAAAACAGGTGTTGCTTATTTTCGGGTGTTGCTTATTTTCCAAAGAATACGGTAAATATTGCAAAGAAACGTGTAGAAAATATCCCATTTGGTTCTAAACTGTTTATTATTATACAGAACTAATGAGAAATACCGTATTCTTCCGACATGCCGTGAGTTGTACCCTGCGCCAATTTGAATGCCTAATTTTGATTTATATCCGGGTACTGGTTACGGTACCCTTCGATGTTTACTCCCGTTGATCTATACTCTAGTTCTCACGTGTCAATAAAACCTTCAAAATTTTTGCTGTAGCATTCGATCGTGCATATGTCCACCAATTTAAGGTCGATTAAACAATGTGAAATGTAAAGTGGCTGTCCAAAGAAATAATTATTCGTTTTATTTTGGACAACTTATTTATAGATATTTTGCACTAATATTATTTCTTACTTTCTTCGGAATAACATGCCTAAAATTATAGATTAGCTATCAAACAGTCACGGCCTTAATATAGTTAAAAAATGCCAAAAATATTAGTAATTTTGCGTTTCATGGAATAATATTCCACAATCAACCTTAATCGAGTTAGCACGATCAATGAAACGCTTGTCATAGAAAGTAGCGGTAAATGTATTACATATTAATCTTTTTGATAAAAATCTAGTTTTTTCCAGCCTCAAATTTATCTTATTTGCATCATCAATTTTTAAGTAAAATTTCTTGCCTATACTGTACGTACCCTATTAATAGCACGGTGTACACATGCAGAGCTGTCTTAGATAAAGAGTTGGATGTACAGTATTATATATTGTATTGGCAATTTTAATCAGCAATTGGGAAAGCACGCAAATACAAATAGAACCGTTCTAAGAAATCTCGATACTGTGTATAAGAAAAAGTTTCAATAACCAAATATTACGCGAATAAAAATAAAAAAGCCACATTCAATATAAAAGCGAACCAATAATAATGAAATTTTTTACTAGCTTATTCATTATTTGTGACGGAATTTAATACAATTCTGTAAGGTATCGAATACAACGACCTGCAGTAAAGAAAGGACATACACAAAGTTTACAAAAGAACGTTAATAGAAACCAGGAGGCTGAACTCGGTCGAGTAAAACAACAAGATATGCATTTGACATTTACGAACAAAAGTTTACGTGCGCAAACTCGAAAATGAAAAAATAAACTGTATGAAATTGCATCGTCAAAACAAGATTGTTTTAAAAAAGTGTTTGCACTTTGGTTTATGGAAGTCGAATTAAATTATAATTATGGTCCATACTTATATAAAGTCTTTTTATTCTCTATAAGAAAAACTTTTTCTATTGATATTGTAAAAATTTTGATCAGATTCGAACTATTTTTTTAGAGTCTTATTGTATTTGCATCTTAATCCAGACCTTCTTGAAATCAAGCCAAGTAAGATAATCGAACAAATTTAACATCAATTGGCAGAAGCCAATGCTGGCGTAAACGAAATGTGTAAGAATAACCCAGCTGTTACTTTCAGCATTTAGAATTTTAACTCTAGACACATTAACGACGTACAGCATGCATACTCAGTGTGTCATGGACAAACTAAATTATTGCCTCACCCGAGATATCCTTCCAATAAAAGTAAACGATTATGTTTGACGTTTCCGTAAAATTGGTTTATATTTTTTATTATCTGGAAAAGACGAGGTTTCTATAATTGAAATGTACAAAAATGCGCTTTTCCCATCAGCATACCAAAAATGGTGCATTTCATACGCTGTAGAGTTTATTTAAAAAAAAACACAACACTACTGAAAAGCCGTAAAGGGTTTATTCGGTATACTAAAAATTACCAGAGCTAATTTAAGTACTTGCTTTGTTATATCACAATTTTGGCGGCTATCCAGCAGATGAGAAACCGAATAGAACTGGCTTGCATGTACATTAAACGCTCACGGAAAATGTCTGTGGTTACAATTTTGACCGAGTTAATATTATTAAAAGTTGATCGAGTCAAGCAATATTGTAATTGTATTTTCGGTATTGTTTTTTAACAAAAGTTGCTTGACAATTTGGTAAAAGAAGAAACGACATGCATTTTTTTTACATAATGACACGACGCGTCTTATGAAACTGTGTTTGCTTAATTTTTGTATTACAACTTTCTTACAGGTTATATATGCTTTCGTGATAGAGCTCTTGGAGAAAAAGAGTCTTGACAAAAAAGACGTTGAACGTTTGAATTACATTTTACGCTTCTTATTATGGAAGAAGTCTATATATGCAATACTGCCGACTCTATAGCAGGGTGCTTATGGGAAAGTGATTATGGGGAGTTGACTATATTGTTAAATATACGTTTGTTCTATACAATTTTACATGCTTGCATGCGACTCAAAGTCGCTATTGGTTCTCGTCTTATAAAATGAAGCTGCAAAAGTTATTGATAGTTCTATTTTCAGTCGTCAAAAAGACATTGAAATGCAACTTCATTGTTAGTCGAGGCTTGGCAAAAACCTTAGTATTAGGATAAACATTTTTTCGGCTGACACCCAGTTTGGAAGTGGGCTGACTGTTATACCAACAACTGCTTATCTTGAAATGGCAGAAAATTGCGCACAGAAAATCCAGATCAGGGAAAGGCGCTCATGCTGAATATACTTAAACAATATCATCATCCAAATCATTATAAGCAAATTTGATTAAGCCTTCCGGGGGCATAATAATACCCTTTTTAACAATTAGATTATAAAGAACGTTAGAAGTTTGATAAGGTTCGATAGATTATTACACATTAGTAATAAACGTAGACATTCAATCCTGTTGCTTACGTATGGCGTCATGGGATTTGCGTCTTGACGCACGCACTTTCCCCCCAACATATGAGCAACACATGGAATAAATCGCAAAGAACGGTTTGTAGATCACCCAACTCTATTATCCTCCATAATTTGAATAGGGCAATAAAGATCATGAAATGACATCAGTTGGGTGCGGTAACAATACCATAATACAATGTGATATATCTCTCAAGAAATGAAATTTCCAACTGTGAGACACAGGTGACCTTTAGTATTACCCGAATATCACGCCATTCTTGATTTCACAACTCTGAAAAGTTTACTCTTCTTTGGGGGAGGGAGGAGTTGTATTTTAGTCACAGATTTGAAATCAAAAACGAAAACGACGTCTTGTGATAGGGACGAATCTGATTCATAGTACTCGTATTAATATTAATGCCGTCGTATTAACATCATTTACAATCAAGATTAAAGTCGAGCATCTCTCTCATTACAGTTTGATAACCGGTAAGCCGTTATTTATACTAATGAAATTAATATAATGTTTTAATAATTGATAACATCTAATGGGTTTCCTCAATTGTCCAGCTATCCTAATTTTGGCAAGTTTTATTGTTATCTTTTACTCTAAAACCAAAATCATTTTATCATTATTTTATCAATGAAATCATCCATCAAACAATCAGCCCCATGTCCACTTCCCCCCCTCTTTTAGTGTGTTAAAA